TTTATATTGTATGCATTGAGTTTGGCAGCGATCAGTAAAGTTCGCTTCACTTTTTTACGCTGTACAATAGTGATGATACCCATTGCGTCGAACGGGGTGGGTAATGATAAGTGGGCTACTGCTCAATATCCCAACCTTTGTTTAACTCTTTGTCTTCCTTACCCAACCCTCTCTCTTTGCCCCTTTCTCCGACGCGTAATATTCCCCCAGACAACTAGGTCGTCACTCGCCAAAGGTCTTTGCCAAATAGCACTAACTAGTTTTCCTGTAAATGAAGCCTCGTCAACCTCTCAATCTGAGAGCTTTCAACTTGAGGACTCTTATGCAGGTGGGATAACTTTCGTGTCTTGCGCGTACAACGCAGTCTCTTTAGAAATCGATGTTTGTTGCGTATCGGAGACACGAATTCAGGATCGTAGTATTATAAGCCACCTAAGTGCCTCGGTTCTGTCTTCGATGTATTTCCTTCGCACATCAGGAGTTGACGCAGCCCGTTCACTGGGTTAGCGTGGTGTAGGTATCGTCTACCCCAGCCCTGATGCTTGATGGTCAAGAATTAGCTGTAGTGGAATGTTTCACCTACTTAGGTAGCTACGTTTCAAATAACGGTAGCATGGTCAATGAAGTAACCACCCACATTTCCAAGGCTCGAGCAACTTACGCAGGATTGAAACACCCTTGGTGCAGATGCGGTATTTCGTTGTATTTGCAAGGTCGCGTATACTGCGCCAGTGTGCGGCCAGTTCTGCTCTATGGTTGCTAGACGCTAAATTTACGCGTTGGAAGATATTCGTCTTAAAGTATTCGACTGCAGATGTTTACGTAGTTTGGCTCGGTTTGGATGGAGCGAGCTTGTAAGCAACTATGGGGTGGGGCGTCCCGTATTTGGTAATGATTCGATGGAGAATTCGTTGTCCCATCGAATTCAGATTAGTCGGCTTCGCTGGTTAGGACACGTATTGCGTATGCCCAGCCATCGTCTGCTGCACCTCGCCTTATTCCTAGTTACGGCTCTAGGTTGGAAGAAACCGTGTGGTGGTCAACAGATGACGTGGAGGCGAGGAATGAAGAAATGCACAGAGCGATTAGGTAGAATCGATGTCTCCCGTCTTCCAGGTTTGGGTCCGAAAGACTCTACAACTGGTTGGCTGGAGACATTAAAGGATATAGCGACTAACCGACAGCAGTGACGTTCTTGTTATCATTTCTTATCGGGTCAGAATGTTTGAAGAGGTATGTATGATCACTTAGATTGTTTACTCTGTGTTGAACATAGAGGTTCTTTTTCCTTGCCTCCCTCCAACTAGGCCCAATCCCTCTCCATTTTGTGCTTTATCACTTGATTTGTGTACATTGTGAGCTTGGCAGCGATCAGTGAAGCTCGCTTCACTGTATCTCGCTGTACGATGATGATGATGATGATGGTGATGACCCTTGGCCCTTGGGCTCTGCAATTGTGCCGAAGCATCGTTGCAACTTCTCCCAAAACTTCCAGCTCGACAACCACCTTCACCATGTCCTAAACCAGAGACACCATGGTGTCGGCTGCACATTGATTTCGCTGGGCCAGTCAACGGATCTACTATCTCATCATCGTCGACGCATACTCCAAATGGCCGGAAGTGATTCTCTTGAGGACCTCCACTTCGTCCACTACCATCGCCGCACTCCAGCGAACTTTCGCTCAACACGGCCTTCCTGTAGAAGTAGTGTCGGACAATGGATCACAGTTCACCTCGGTCCAGTTCCGCGACTTCTGCAACCGTTTGCGAATCCGGCAGCTACACTCCGCCGTATTACCCTCAGTCCAACGGTCAGGCGGAAAGGTTCGTGGACACGTTCAAACGCGCACTTCAGAAGTCGCACGGGGAGGAGACCAGTGATGCGCGCCTCAGCCAATTTTCGCTTCTGTACCGCACAACTCCAAATCCATCGGCACCTGGAGGAGTCTCGCCGGCAGAACTTCTAATGGGTCGGAAACTGAGAACCGTCCATGCAGCCATGATTCCATCAGCCACTAGTGTTCATCAGTCGTCAGCCCCCAAGTGCGCCTTCGCCAATGGATCCTGTGTCTACGCACGCGATTACCGTGCTGATCACCCCCAGTGGGCGCAAGCCACAATATCCAAGCGTTGCGGTAGCAGGCTGTACAACGTGAAGGTCGGAAGCGAGACATGGGTCCGACATCAAAATTAACTCCGTCCCAGACATGAACAAAGCCTCAAGCGCACCCCACGTCGATTTCAATTCCACCGGACATACTGACCGACACG